ACTGTAGAATAAAAAATATATATTTAAAAAAATTTAAACACTATCGTAATAGTATAAGCAATCTTCTAAAGTTTAGTAAAAAGAAATATTACACAAACTTTTTTAACCACAACATCAATAGCATAAAAAACACCTGGAAAGGCATAAAAGAGTTAGTAAATGTTAAACGAAATAATAGTAATTCCCTAACAAGCATACTCATTAACAACAAATGCGAAACCAATGTCAAACCATTTTAATAACTTTTTTACCATGATTGCTTCAAAATTATCCTTCGAAATTCCAAATTCTAAATTCAACTATCATGAGTAACTGACCAATCCTACTAGCAACTCTTTTTATATGCAACCAATAACGAAAGAGGAAACTCTTGATTATATAAATTCCACTATTATAGAAGGGAGGAGTGTTGGACCAAACAGTCTTCCATCAAAAGTTTTTAAACTGGTGTCAGCAACTCTATGTAAACCAATTAGTATCATTTTAAACAATTCATTTCGCAAAGGAACATTTCCCGATGCCTTTAAGCTAGCTCTAATTATTCCGATTCACAAAAAAGGATCTACAATTGACTGCACTAACTATCGTCCAATATCTCTTCTTTCTAATGTAAGCAAAATATTTGAAAAAGTTATGCATAATGAACTATACAACTTTCTAAACCAAAATCAATGCTTATATAAACACCAGTTTGGTTTTTGTAAAAATTATTCGACAGCTCATGCTCTTATTAAAATTACAGAAAGTATAAGAGCTGCTCTTGATAATGGCAACTTTGCTTGTGGAGTTTTTATCGATTTGCAAAAAGCTTTTGACACCGTAGACCATGAAATTCTCCTCTCAAAGCTTAACAATTACGGTGTACGTGGCATATCCTTGCAGTGGTTCAAATCATACCTTTCTGATCGTCAACAGTTTGTAACTATAAATGGAACCAGCTCAGATATTAAAAACGTTTCAATTGATATACCTCAGGGATCCATATTAGGTCCTCTACTCTTTATTATCTATATTAATGATCTTAATCTTTCTATCAAACATTCAAAAACGTATCATTTTGCTGATTATACTAATCTTCAATTAATAAAAAACTCTCTCAAAAAACTTAATAAATATATTAATCAGGATATGGCCAGTCTTGTTCAATGGCTTAGAGCAAATAAAATCTCATTGAATACTAAAAAATCAGAAATAATTATATTTAAGACTAAAAATACTAACTTTTCTAAAAAGACTAAGAAAAATATTCCAAAATACTTGAACTTTCGATTAAGTGGTCAAAAAATGTACTTTTCTAGTAACATAACTTGTCTTGGTGTTGTTTTAGATGAAAAACTTTCATTCAAAACACACATATCCAACCTTACTCTGAAGTTAAGCCGTTCCAACGGCATGTTAGCAAAAATTCGACATTACGTTAACTTTGAAACATTGCTCTCTATATATCGCTCAATTTTTGGTTCACATTTACGATACGTATGTCAAGTTTGGGGACAATCTAAAACCGTGTCTCTCTAGAGTTGTTTCACTTCAAAATAGAGCGGTACGGAATATTCATTTTTGTCCGAGAAATTTTCCTACTGATATCCTATATCTTACATCCTAAATTCTTCGTTTCTATGACTTAATTCAGTTCTTAAATTGTTCATTTGTCTGGGATCAACAACATGGTGTCCTTCCTACTATATTTCACAACTACTTTAATAACAGAACAACATATGGGCATAACCTAAGATCAGTCACCTATAACAACTTAACTCTTCCACTAAAACAGACAAGTAAACATGGAATTAATTCCATTACATACCAGTGTATCCTTTCTTGGAACTCCCTTCCGAACACCCTAAAATCTGGTCTCATCCATAGGTTCAAGAGTCTGTTCTTAAAGTCACTCCATCTTTTCTACCTAAAAGGTTACGCTTAACTTTACTTTTTACTTTTCTTTCTTACTACTTTTTGACTTATTTTTTATTTTTATTAAAGTTTATTATTTTATTATAATTTTATTTTTAATATTTTATTTTAAATTATAATTTTTATTATAATTTACTAATTTTATTATAATTCTTGTTAAAGTATATGTGCATATATAAATGTACATTATATTAATTATGTTATATATATTCAAAAAGTTTGATTTTTTTGGTATAACTAAATAAATTTTTATGCAATTTTACTTTTTTTAGTTAATATTATGTTATTTAACTTCCTTTTATAACCTATTTTTTATGTGGTTTTACTTATTACATATTATTATTATTATTTTTTATCTTATTTAGGTCATTGCGCTTTATTAGTGAATCACTATTTGCAATGACCTGTGTTTTTGTAACATCTGTAACACGAAATATATTGTTATTGTTGTTTTGTTGTTGTTGTTTTGATAATATGACCACAGCTGTTTACATGTTTTAAAATTTGAACATTTTAAAAATGCACTGAAAAACGTATCTAGACTAAACTAAAAAAATATTTATTTAAAAAAAAAAAAATCTTATTAAAAGAGTAAACAAAAAGAACTTAACTAAAAGACAAATATAACTCAACTAAAAAAAAAAAAGGTAAGATTATTGAAATCAAATATTTAACTACGTTTTTTTTTAACTTAGTACATAATTAAGGAAAAATGTTTGAATCTTTAAATTCCTTTGTTTAGTAAATAAAGCAAAAAAAAAAAAAAGGTTTTCAAAAATAAAATATATATATATATATTTCAATCCCCAATATATATATATATATATATATATATATATATATATATATATATATATATATATATATATATATATATATATATATATATATATATATATATATATATATATATATATATATTGGGGATTGAAATATCGATTAAATTACTAAACTTTACTAGTAATTATGTACTCTCTTAATATGTACGGATTGTTTTAAATTATAATTCATTTATAAAATAATGTGTTTAAATGTTAAATAATGTAAGTATATTTGTTTTTTTCTCAATAACATTACTATCTAAACTGTAAAGCAATCTTTCATTAAACGCATGAGAATTAGTTAATGAAAATTCTTCTGTTTTATTTTTAATTTGAAGATCTACATAACATTTAATTAAAATTTAATTTATTATCAATATCATACACAAGAGATATAGATATCATACACAAGAGGTATAGATATATGTAAACAATGCACACAAAGAGTCTTATTTCATTTGATAAAAGATAAAGTTTGTCGTAAGTCCTTAAGTGACATTTTTTTGCTGGTTTCTGAATTTTACTATTTTGAAATTAGTCAAAAACATTGCAACACACTAATATATTTTTAAACAGTTTTTGTGCACAAATTACACCAAGAACCTGCATTAAAAGATTTAAAGTTATCATAAATTTGTTTAGAAAAGAATGATTTGTATCTGTTTTTGTTAAAATGTATGCAAATATTTTCTTTGTTTTAATTTTTTTTTTATTATTTAGTTTTAACTTTTTATTACATTTTATTATAAATATTTCTAAATAAACTAATTAAGTTCATTAACAGTCATATTTTGACTCCAAAATATAATTTTATAGCAGAGTTGCTGATAATCCGTAAAAATAATAGGCCCCCAGTCACAGCTTACGATTGTGCAATGAATAGGTCTTCAGTAAAGATCGCCTGGTAAAAACTACAACAAGAAAGTATTAATTAACAATGTTCTAAAGTTGTTTATAAAAGTTTAAATTCTAAGTAGCACATTTTTTGGTATGACATTATAAATTGATAAGTTTAATTACCATGACAGCATTGTAATAAATTGATAGATCTAGTAGCTATAACAGCATAATAATAAATTGATTTAGTTCTGAGTTATTTTGATTTCTGAGTAGCTAACTTAACTAGTTTCTAGCATCAAAGGTTTGTTTAATATAAAAGAAATATTCAACAACTTTCATTCTTTATTAAAGTTTGTTATGGACCCATGTATACTACCTTAGATTTGTTTAAATTTTTGACCACCAAAAAATCACCATCAAAAAATACGCAGCGCTGAAACTTTTAGTTTGATTGACCAATCCAATCAAAAATTATGATTAAATCAATTTTAATCAAAATAAGCAAAGATTGAATATTTGAAGCTAGATTTTTTTGATTTAGGAACCTTGTAAGTAAAAGGTGATCAAATTTTGTATAGTAATAGTCTTTCGCCTAACTTTGTCAATGTTGATTTTTGTTGATTTTTTCAAGCACCTTGGATCCTATATATAGATTATATCATTAAAAAAAGATCTATACATTTTAAGACATAGTTGTAGAGTGTGGCATCCTTTTTTTATTGTTTTTAAAGGTTAAAAAAATTTCATGGTTTAAAACACTTACCATCAAAAGATAATGCTCAAAGTAAATTTCAAAACTGTAAAATAAAAAACGGTAAAGTAAATTTCAAAACTGTAGTTGTCACTGTCAAATAAACATTCTTGAATTTGTTAAAACTTTAACAAATTTAAGTCAAAAAATTGCAGATTTCCAAAATCAACAAAATTTGAGTATCTGTAGCTTACAATAGATTATTTAGATTTTTGATGAACTTTGGAAATAAAAATGGAGATCACCTAAAATTTTGCATAGTAATTGAAAAATAAAAAAAGCCTAAACCTAATCAAAAAGTTCTGTAGCGTTATAAGGTATTAGGGTAGTCCTCTTTGAATTTGGAACAGAAAAAATTGACAAAACTGTAATAACTGTAAACATTTATTAACCTTAGTGTTTTAATTTAACGGGTGTCAAATCTGAATTTTTATTTGTTCCAAATTCTTTAGAATCCTATAGAAGTTTTTGACCTAGACTCTTTTTTTAATTTTTTTTAATTTCCAAAGTTTTGGCCCATCAATAATCAAAATAACTATAAGTTACAGATACTCAAATTTTGCTGATATTGGTTAATTCAAAGTGATTTATAAGAAATGATCCATCTAATAAAATATTAAATTTAGTTGTAAATAGATATGTAAAAATTCTTTTTACACTTTCTTATATTTTAGACAATATGGGAAGGTGGTGCATATTTTTTACGGATGATATTTAAAGATGATTATCCTTCTACTCCTCCAAAGTGTAAGATTTTTTTCTGTATAAAATAATTTTTCAATTTATAAAAAGTTTTATTGATAAAAAAAAGTTGTGATATAAGTTTTAAAGAATTTATTTAAAGTCTGAAAACAAATTAGCGAGAGTTCTTAGAGCTTAGTTCTTGCATGGTTAGATAACTGAGGGAATAAATGCTATGATAATATAAATAAAAACATTTAGAAAATGTGTCATATGCAATCTGACAAAATATACATAGTTTGAAACATATATATTATCATCAATCCAGCCTATCTTTCATTTTGTGTTTTAATTATTTATTTAACTATGGATTTTAAAAAAATGTTTTGGATGCTGACACCAATAGGATGGTGGAACCCATTGGTGGTTGCCTCAAAATGTTTTGTCACACAGTTTTGTCAGATTTATGCACATAACTGTTGTTTTTTTTTAAATAAAAAATTAAATTTTTTGCAGTAGCCCAAAAAATGAGATTCAAAACTTTGTATTTAACACAATATATTCACTATTAAATACAAACCACAAAAAACTAATATTTAGATCCATTTTACAATTTTGAAAAGAATCATACAGATCTTCATCAAACCAAAAGGTATAAAAAGTAGATTTCTTGATATTTTGTGTTAAAAGTATGTGTAAACAATGCCAAAGACCAAATTTAATAACCAGGGTTTTTTTTCACTATCTCAAAGGATTTAGCAATTGCGCTATCAAGAAACATTTTTTTTTAATAATAGACCATTCTCATTACAATGAGTTCAATGAGAAATTGTTTTGTACTGCTTTTTTGTAAAACAGAAGAGATTTCTGCAAAAGTTTTATCATATTGATTTATTAAAAGAACTGCTTGCTTTTTGGATGTAGATTGTGGAGGCTTGATGTAGCAGGATACTGGTTTTGACTTCTGAACATATTTTTCCCCTCCATATGAATTGTCACAGCTCTATTGTTTTTATCTGTGCTATTTACCAGCCATTTTTAACAATGGACCACTCAAAACCATATTGTATTTTCACTTTCAGAATGAAAATACAAATTAAAAAAACTTTTTTTTTTAAATAACTCTTCACATGTTGCAGCAGATTTAAAAAAACTCTTCACATGTTGCAGCTAACTTTCACATTTCTAAATATAAATTTTCACATTTCTACATTAAAAAAATTTGAAAGTTTTCACGTGTTGCAGCTATTTTTACATAAAAAAGTATCTGATAAATTCATTTAAATTATTAAAAAATGGTTCAACTTAAACTGGTTAAATGTTTTGTATAAATTTTGGTTTGAACTGTAAATAAATGATAAGAATAAAAGTAATTTTATAATGATCAAATAGTACATAAACAATCTTTTGAGCTGTATAATTATTTAATTAGTAACCTTAAAAAAGGAATATTATTCACTATAAAACATTTTTAAACATTAAAATAAAATAATACAAAATTAAAAAATTCCCTGATATTCCCTGACTTTTAACTAAATCTTTTTTCCCTGATTTTCCCTGAACATATCTAAATTTCCCTGATATTCCCTGATTTCCCTGATTTGTTGACAACCCTGTACTATATATTTAACTTATATTACCTAGCGATTATTTTCATGGATTTTTTAGATCTATTATTAAGAGTTAGAGTTACATAACAAAAGAATAGTAAAAGTATTGAACTCATTCATTAAAAATAATTAACAAAGGTAATTTTAAAAAACATGTGGCACTCTTCCTTAGTTATTTTTTGAACATTTATGAAAGTTATTGAATTGAAATCAGTTTTTCTGCAAGACCAAGAGCATCTTTAAAAAATTATTTTAGTATTACAACTTAAGGGGTAAACAGATTCTATCTGTTGACCAGCCTCATCTATTAGGCTGGTGCAGATGTATTTTAATACATTATTTAAATGTATTTAAATACATAAGTGGTCCCAATTTCTCAAAACTCTAGAAAATATTTTGACCTCTCTAAATATCCTACGATTAGTCTTCACTTTGTTATTAGTTTCTTGTTATAAAGGTTTTGAGATAATTAAATTATTTCTTTCTAACTGCAGTAGTAAAGTTCTTGAAGGCCTACCCTCATCTTTATTTCAAGTAACTTTAAGGGTACCACAAGGTTCTATCTTTACTCCTGCATTATTTCTTATCTACAATAACGATCTTCATGAAATCTTTTTAATTGCTTAGAACAAGCAGCCAATTTTAATTCTGATCTCTCTTCTGTAACAGCCTAAGGCTTGCAGTGGCTTATGGATTTAAATTCTGAACTTAAAATCCACAATTTTTGTTAAACAACCTAAAATCATTTATTTACTGTAAAAAAGTATTGTTGGGATTCCTATATTGACAAATAACAATCCTTTTACTCTCAGACAAAGTCTAAAAGCACATTGTAAATGTAACTAGATCTGCTTTATCTGCCAAGCTTGAGCCACTCTCCCATAATTGTAAGGTTGCATTTCTTTCTTTTTTTTTGCAAATACAATCATGGTCAATGCTCAAACAAGCTATTATCTCTATAACGATAAACCAAAACCCATTCTTGCTCTGTTATTTATTCAATAAGTTGCACCCTTTTACTGTATCTGTTTCTTCATGCTATAAAAACTTTTATTATTCTAGTTTTTAACCTCAAATATCAAAAAAACCTTATAATTCTTACCCATCTTCATGTTTTCCTTTTTTACACAACTTACAACTTTTTAAGTCTTCATTTATATGTTTCCTAGTATTTTTACTTATTCTCTATTTTAAAGTAAGACATAACTTAATAGTAGTTACTTGCAATCTTGTTTGAAGTAAATTAGAGTTTAAAAATATATAAATGTATGCAAGTATTTAATAAAAAGTAAAGGTAAGCATAAAATTACAATATATTAAGTATTAAAAGTTTTTTCTAGCCCCGGCTATCAACCCTTGCCAAATCTTATAATTTTGCTGAGGCTAGGTTCATTTTTAGCCGGGGCCAAGGGCCCTGGTCACTCACTATTTCCTGCTAAGTTTTTTTTTGCCTTTTTTGTACAGAGAAGTGATGTTTGCTGATCCAAATTGCACTGACAGTTTATTGGTTTCAAACAATTCTTTAAAAATATATGTAAGTGGAATGGCGAAGACTGAAGTTTTTTAAAATAACTGAATAAAAATTATCAACACCACTTGATTAGTTTTCTTTTAAGTTGTTTAATCTTAGATAGGCATCTTCATTTGTAATAATGTTTCAGTAGTTTATAAAGTAGACATATTCTTTCACAAATGAAAATTTTTGATTGAGATATCAGCAATATCTTTTGAATTTTGAGTTGTTTCACCATTTGCTCCCTTTAATGCTTTTATAGAATCTTTGACTGCTTGTTGATTGTTCATGTAGTTGTGGAGAAGCTTTGCTCCCTTTAATGCTTTTATAGAATCTTTGACTGCTTGTTGATTGTTCATGTAGTTGTGGAGAAGCTTTGCTCCCTTTAATGCTTTTATAGAATCTTTGACTGCTTGTTGATTGTTCATGTAGTTGTGGAGAAGCTTTTCTCCCTTTAATGCTTTTATAGAATCTTTGACTGCTTGTTGATTGTTCATGTAGTTGTGGAGAAGCTTTAGATTCTTGGTGGTGGCTTCCAGATCAAATTCAAAGTTTTGTTGCACTTTTTTAATCTAATCTGCTGCATTTTTGCAAATCATTTTTGTATTTAGATTTCAAAACCGGATCTTTTCATTTATATGAGCAGTTTTTATATCTTAAATTTTATTTGCTTCTAATTAGAAACTTTAACCTACCATTGATCCAGTCTGATTTTTAAAGAGTTTAATGTCTTTTTAATTGGAGTCAAATGATTACATCCCACCTCGGTATATAAATTAGTTCTTCAAACATTTCTTGTACATTTTTATTATTGAAGTTATCATTACTTTCATCAAGTCAACGTTTGAAATTAGATCAAATATGAGTTCAAAATTGGAATTAGCAAACATAAATCTTCGCTTGCTTTTATTGTCACGGATTGTTTTATCAAACAAGATAAAACTAAAAGATATTATTAGTTGGCCTCTGTTTATGTTTCCTAAAACAAATTTTGAATCTATTTCATTAACACTTGCTGACTGAGTTGTAAAGACCAAATCCAAGGTACTCACAAGTTGTTCATCTGACAGATGGAAAGTTGATATGTTAATATGCTGATAAAGAAAATTATCATTTAAAATATATGTAAAGTTATATTTAATCCCATTCTGATTTGAAATTGCATCAACACAGCCATTTGACCAGCTGATTGATGGGACATTAAAGTTGCCAATGATAAGTAAGTCTTTGAACTTATTTTTGTCTAGATATTTGCGTGCCAGGCCGAAAACCACCTTAAATTCTGCCATATCTAAAAAATCATTTGGCCTGTAGATACATTCAATTAAATACTTGTTATTATTAAAATAAACAATTGCCCACACTTGTTCTAGTTTACAAAGATTTAGAACAGCATTATTTAGTTCATAGGAGTCTAATGAGTTGTTTATATATAAATAAACACCACCATCTTTTTGTCTGTCTGATCTGTCTTTTCTATACAGATAATAAACTTTACAACTGAGTCACTTTTAAACCATATCTCAGTCACAGAAACCACATTTGGTTTGTATTGTTCAATTACCACTTTGAACTTTATTTAACTTGTTATCGAGAGAGGTAGCGTTTAGGTGACATTAACATGACAGCTTTTTAATTTCATTATCATCTGACACTGACTTATGTAGAAATATATTGATCTGATTTTTTTTTTTTTTAATTTGACAATCTTATTGCCATGGATGCTATACCAAAAGGGATCATTATCTGTTCTTGCTTGATTCATTTTATTTCTTTCAGTTCTGAGGTTAAAGTCTTTTTTTAGTCAAATTTGCTTTAGTCAAATCTGGACTAAGTTAAATATCTTTATGTGCAACATTCTCAATTTTTACCTGATGATAATATTGTGTTGCGAAGAATACCCTCAGCTAAATTCAACAAGAATTGGACCTGGTTTATAAGTTATTAGATCTCAACCGTCTAACAAATTTTGGTATTACATTCTATTGATTTATGAGCTTAAAAGTTTCATTTACTTTTGTCTCTTGATTTCTATGCTTTCTTTAGTTGATTCAGCTACTCCATAAATAATGACTTTTTTTGCTCTTCTCTTTCTTTCATCTAATTCATTAATGGCTACATTTGTTACCATCAGCTGCTCTGTAGGCTTATTTTTAAGTTAAACTGTATTTTTGGTCCTAAGTTTGCCCTTCTTTTGTCAGACTCAAAACTTTTTAGCTTCTGTTATTCTTTAGACTAATAGCTTTTATACATAGTTGTTTAGAGATAGTTGTCAGAGATATATTAAGTTATACATGTTAAATCAGTGTTAAGTGTAAATGTGTAGTTTTAATATTGCATTCATTTGTCTTGGTATTTAACTAAAAATTTTATGTTTAATGTCATTTATCTCTGTATTTTAGGTAAATTTGAACCCCCCCTTTTCCATCCAAATGTATATCCCTCTGGCACTGTTTGTTTATCTCTTTTGGACGAAGATAAAGATTGGCGTCCAGCTATAACCATCAAACAAATTTTACTTGGCATACAAGATCTGCTTGTTGCACCAAATGTCAGAGATCCCGCTCAAGCTGAGGCATATACCATATATTGGTATTAAATTTTACTTTGAATTCTTCATTTTCTGTTCTATATTTAGTTTTATGTTTAAAGTAAAATGGGGTTAAATGGAATAGTTAAGGATTTTATTTATTAATTTTTTGCGCAAAAAAGATTTTTCCTTTTTTTTTAAAGTTGTAGAGAGTATTGAGCTGTATTTTAAAATCTAACAATTTTTTGTAAAGTTTTTTATGAAACTTTATTTGATTAAAAAAAAATTTATTCCGTTCTACACTGGCATTTGGGGAGAATCAAATATGCAAATATAAGTGTAATTAAAACAACACTTTATTAAAAAAACAAAAAGCAATCAATAATAACAATTAAAAAAACAATCAATAATAACAATTTAAAAAATCAATCAAATAAAATAAACTTTTTTATTCTTGTGATGATGTTGAGTCGTTTAGAGGTACTAGAGGTTGAGTTAAGTTTTCACTTGTTTGGCACTTTTTGGTGCAATAAAACTCAGCGCCTTTTACGTATCGCTTTGGTATGCATGTTTGACATAGCCAAACCTTGCAATTTGAATTTTCACACTAATACCATTCCATATTTTGACTTGCTGAAGTTTTGCCCAAAACTTTTCCGCACTTTTTACTCTTGAACTGGTTTGCAGCTAATATTTTCGTTGGACTTGCTGCTTGGTTTATTTGCTATTCTCCATTAGAGCTAAGCTTACATTGTTTTTTAGCTTGCTTTGCTGCTTTTTTGCTCACAGCATCTTTCAACCTTTCAACTATTTCAGGTTTGTTGAGACACTCCCCTTCGATTCTTGACACATCTACATTTTTTCTTTTTTGTGTGTCAACGTGTTGGATACGAAACATTTGTTGCAAAGCTGCTGCAAGTGATTGCACTGATTGCAGTTGTTTTGCAACTTTTTTTTGAATTTCTTTTTGAATAGCCAGAGTTACTGCAATAATGAAGGTTGTTTGCAGACAAGGTGACTTTTTAGATGACTTTGGAGTTGATGCTACGTGACATGCTGATGCTAGATATTGTTGGTGTAGATTCAGAGGGCAGTGGCTGAGATAGTGTAGTTCCTTGTGCTAGATTTGGTGATGGTACTAACATGGATTCTGGTTGTTGAGATGATGAAGGCTCAGGTTTAGATGTTGGTGTTTCAAATGTATCAGCTATTCGCAACTTTGACTGATCGATTTTTTCGACTTCGAGTGGAAACAAGCCAGTATTGTGAAACCCAGTGACTATCTGGGTACATGTAAAAACTTCACCAGAGCTGAAAAGTTTTTTTTGCAGGTAACTGAAACATTCTTTTGATAAGTTGCTCAACTTTGTCTCTGCACAAAACTGTTGAAGTAAATTGCGCTAAACTCTTTTGACATGGCAATAAACACCAACATCTAGTGGCTGAAGAATGTGCCATGAGTGAGCTGGTAAGGAAATTAACAAGATATTGTTTTTGATGCATATAAGTACGACCCGATAAGTGACATGTGTCACATGTCCATCTACGACTAAAATATGAATACCTAAAATAAAATAACTATAACTAGATTGATGTAATATTTTGTGAATGTAAAATTAGATAAATATAATTAAATAACTAAAATTAGATTGAACTAATTACCTGGAATTTTCTTAATGGCGGGAACATACACGTTAGTGAGCCACTGTACAAATTGCTTATCTTCCATCCATCCGCATGGAGATATGGCGCATCTTGCATCATCTGGACCACTTAAACACCAATCTCTGTACAGACATTTTTTTGATTTGAAAATAATGTATGGAGCAAGACAATTACCAGCAGTGTTAATGCAATTTCCAACTGTATAATGGATTTTTTCATTGTTGCAAACCAATTTCAATGGTCGTTTCGCACCACGCCGGCAAACTATATGTGGCTTACCTTGATCACCAGAGAAGCCAATTTCATCAAAATTACATTTTTTTTTTGCAAATGACATTGAGTGTTTTCGTTGATATTTGAATTAAGTTGAATTTACTTTGCAGTGTGTTGAAATACTTTGCTACTACTTCTTGCGTGCATGAAGCGGCTCTGAGTGATGAAATATTGCCTATGGCTCTGATACTCAAACTATGACTCCACCGGTTTATGAAAAGGTTATATCAATTATTACTAGTGCGATGATGTTATTGTAAGTTCTACCAAAGCCCCAATTGGATAATTTAAATATATATTTAATCGTTTTTGTAAATAGATGAAGTTAAAAATGAAATATAATATAAGATAAATAAATAAAAATAACAAAAATTAATATAAAAAATATATTTTTATAATAAAATAATAAATTTAAATATGTATAAATGAAAATAGAAATAAAATGAAAACTAAAAAAAATATATAAATATGATAAAAATAGTATAAAAATAGAACGGGAACAAAAATAACATGTCCCCAAAAATCGCCATCTAGTAGGCTATATATATATATATATATATATATATATATATATATATATATATATATATATATATATATATATATATATATATATATATATATATATATATATATATATATATATATATATATATATATATATATATATATATATATATATATATATATATATATATATATTAGTAGCGGGAAATTTTTACATTTTTTTTAAAATCAGTTTTCTTTATTACTACCGGTGGAGAAATATAAAAATAATTTGTAAACACATGACTTTCTTTTTTTTTAGTCAAGATAAACAAGAATACGAAAAGCGAGTTAAGGCACAAGCCAAAAAATTTGCAGCAAAATAATCTTTGGTTGTTTCTCGTATAAAAAAGACGTTTATCACAAAACGAACGATTTGATGCAGAGAATAACACTTCTAATTTAAAAAAATGATGTTTGTATCATCTGGAAGTCCTTGTAAATTCGAATGACTGTGTCACAATCATATATTCATTATAAATATACAATATATTTTTTACTCGTTAGAACGTCAAAAATAAACTTTCTAAAATATAAAATCAGCTTTATTTAATAAAAAAGTGATATAAACTTTTCTGCGCATCGTAATTTTTTAGAGGTTTTTTTATTGGTTGCGCCAAAGCTTATTTCAAATTTTATAGCGCTTGTTTACTTGTTTATCTTTTTAAATATATCACAACAATAAACTGTAGCTTGCATTCCAACAAATAGTTTTTTGATAAATGTTGAAGCTGAAGGTTTGTTCTAATTAATATAACCATATTAGATTATTTCTATTATGCATTCGATTATATAAGATAAATTCTAATTAATATAACCAATATTAGCTTTGATCACAGTCTCATTTAGAGGACGAAACTTGGAACTGTTTTTCCGGATATAATCAGTGGGCCAGACTCGCGTGATGGAAATGTTGAAGGCTTCAACATCTGGGTATTGTTGCTTACAAGACTTGGTCTGACCATATGTCCAAATAGAAATTTACAGAGGGTTCAAATCTGGAGAGGTAAAATGGTCTTTTATTTTTTGAATCTCTTTGGGCCAGCAAAGAAATATTCTCTGATTTAGCCCCTATATTGTATTTAACAACTCAGCGGACAGACCCCTCAGAAATGTTGAGGTCAAAAGCCATGCCTCTCATTGTCTTGTATAGATTTTTCTTTATTCGGCCTCTTTCCTACCAAGCTGTTATTAATAATTTTTTTTGACCTCTAAATTCCTTTTTTTTTCCTTCTAACATTGTTACATTCAAAAAAACGTTAAAACTGTTCAAAAACCTGTCTCTTTCATAACCTCTTTAACACCCGCGTGAAGGGCTCTAAGGATTGATTCTCTTTTTTCTTCCTGCATTTGCGTGTTTTTGAAATTTTCGGAATATTTTTGTTTACTTTAACTCAAATGTTGTTTGATCAACCTAAATATCTAAGAAATTTGTAAGTCTTACTACCAAACTTATGACATTGAAAAGTTCGGTCCGAACTGGTGTATTAAAACACCAGTGGGTTTTTTTAAATATTAGCATAATTTTGTCCGCAGAAGTTTATTTTATTCACTAAAGAAAAATATCTCGGTTACCAGCGTAACATTTTTTAGGATTTTTTTTTTTTACGACGTTTATATTGTGTTACTTTAGTTTGAGTAGTTAATTGTTTTTAAAATTTTATAAAATTGGAGACAGAAAACACATAACAGTTTCTCTTGTCCCGGCCAGGTGATCAGATGACAGACTTATGAATTTTACATTTTAATTTTTTTTACAAATTTTTCTATTGAATTCGTTTTTAATTCACTTTTTCTATTGAACAAAATTCGTTCTGGTAATATTGATGCAATAAAATCTGCAAAATTATTATTAGGAAATGGTAAATTATCACAATCATTTGTATTACTGTATAATATTTGATTAAATGTAGTTTCAGAAAATATTCAAGCGCGGTGGTTTTTAACCACTGCGACGCAGCACTTAAGTGTGCCGCTAAATTTTTTAGAATCAAAGTGTGCCGCCAAACTTTAGAGGTGTTAGCGAAAAGTACTAACATATGTTTTGTACAAGTAGTTTTTGGTAACAGTTGTAAAATTCGGCCGTACATGTTTTGAAGTTTTTAAATCAGTTTAAAACATTCTTAAAATTGTTTATTTATTTATTTATACTTTTGCCAAAAAAAAAAAAAATTACAGTTGTAACTTATAAAAAATAATTACGTGAGTGGGGCAAGAAGAAGACAAACTTTACTTATCACAAAGCCCCAAAAAATGCGTCATTACTAAATAAAATATAGTTTCAATGTATACCGTAAAACCCTCCAAATTCCGGATGGTTTAGTACTTAAATCATCATAACTCGCTTATTATAAAAGACTTTGGAATAATTTTTTAAATAAATAAACTTTATAACAAGGCAAGTTGAACGATATAAAAAAACTTTGTTTTTGTAATTTAAATCTCTAATTTCTTTTTTTTTTAAAAAGTATTGTTTTTATCCGGAATTAGGTGTTTATGTCTCTAATTCCGGATGCGTTAAAATATAGAAAAAGCACACACACAAATCGTGCAAACATTAGGCTAATTAATTTAATCCATAAAACAAATTGAATTGTTAAATTAGAAAAGAAAATATATTGTTTTATTCACATTCGTTACAATAAATTCCATTGATAAACGATATCCAACGACACATGCAACGCAAGACCAATTAGAACACTGCTCACATGCAAGCTATTGGTTATGTAAGCTATTCGCCCAATAATTTTCGCAAGAAAAACAAAGACGATTATAAGATACTAAGATACTATTATAAGATACTATTTGAAGCTTGAGGTAAATGTGGGTCTTCTGGTTGATTCTTTGTCTTTCGACCTTTTTTACCTAAGATTTTTAGCCGACTGACTTAATTTTTTTTTCTTGTGGCAACTTTTTTTTTGCATTCTCAATTTCTTTGCAGCTTGATTATCTAATTTTTGTTTTTTTGATGCTTGCTCAGCTCCATCGTAAGCTTATGTTGGAGCCGTGGCGCAGCTGTTAGAGTCCTGGCTCAGAACCCAGAGGTCCGAGGTTCGACACCAGCTCTAGTCCAATAAGCGACATTGGTAAGAAAGGAGGTGTGAACTTCTAGTTAAATGCTCTCCCGCGGTTCTCTGTGATAAGTCCGTAAGGACTTCTGGGAGCACCTAAATAACCTCAGAAAAAAAAATAAATAATAATGCCTTCCGCCAAAGTCATATTATAATTCGCTGGTCGCTCTATTATCTCATCTTTTTGAACTCTTTTATTTAGAGTTGGTGTCAATTGATCACGAAGCATATTTAACATTTGATTTGTTTATATCTTTTCCCACTTGTTGAACGGCAATTCAAAGTAGCAAAGCTTTTAAGCAAAAATTTACGATTTGACATTCTTGATGGTAAGGTGAATTGGTAGTATTTCCCAAAACAAGTGGACTAGATACTGTTGAAGAATCAAATAAATTTTTTTTTTAACTCAAATAATCAGCATAAAATTCTGCATAAAATACTTTTTAATTATTTCGTTGCAAATTTAAGTTAATTTTTTTCTATTTTTTTTTTTTTTGTTAATTTATTTATGTTACATTTCAAATTAAAATCTTTCATGATTGCATTATTTCATATAATTTTTTTTTATATTGTTCAATTTGTCTGATCTAGACGTTAATTGATTAGAAAAAAAAATTCATAAATTCGTTATATTAGGCTAGTTATGAAACTTTTTACTAAAACCATCCGGAATTAGGGGGTTTTACGGTTAATCTCTGAATTAATAATATAAAAGAAAGCAAATATATCGCTGAGCGTATAAAATTTATAGTTTTTCAAAGAATAAGATTTAAGAATTGTTTTGTTAAATAAAAGAAACAAAATTTAATAAAATATTAAAATGACAAAAATAACATTTGAAAAAATAAGAAGATATGAGTTTATATAAAACACATTTTATTGTTAGCGCAATTTATAGTTTAATTTATTTAATTAAATTTATAATATTTTTTATTGCCAAATCAGTAAAAGAAAATAATTTTAATGGTTATAAACAGTTATAAACAGTAAAAAAAAAATAGTTTATAGTTATAAACAGTAAAAAGATAAAAGTTATAAACAGTAAAAAGAAAAAGCAAAGGATTTATAAACAACGCAAAAATAAAAATAAATTTCTCAAAATGAAGATTATCATTTCAAATAATAAAATATATGTATATATACTGATTAATTATGTATTAATAATGTACAAGCAACGAATACCATTGCTTGGTTTAAGTTGAACTCGATGGTTGCCAACCCTGATAAATTCCAATTACTTTTAGTTGGTTTAAAAAATACAAAAAATATATACCTAAAAATAGGTAATATAAGAGTTTTTGCTTCTGATAGTGTGAAACTACTTGGTGTTACAATTGATAAGAATCTAAATTTTGGAAAATACATGAAATACTTATGCAGTAAAGCTAATGGTAAATGTTTTGCTCTTTCACGCATAAGAAATTTTTTATACCGTAGTAAAGCTACCTTGTTGTTTAAAGCCTTCATAATGTCAAATTTTTCTTATTGTCCTTTAATTTGGATGTTTTGTTCTAAATACTATGACAACCTTATAAAAAGAATTCATAAAAAAGCTCTTTGTATTGTCCATAAAAGGTTTGACTTATCTCTTGATGAATTGTTAAGTTTTGATAATAGTCCAAGGATCCACGTAAGAAATTTGCGCTTTCTTACGATTCTTTTAAATCAATTAATTATCTAAATCCAGAATTTATGAGGGATTTATTCAATACAAAAAATCTTCTTTTTAAACTTCGTTGTAGCAAAAAATGATTCTACCTTCAAATGGCTCCAAATATAAGTTTTATTCTTGTTAAAACTATTGTAACCATCAACAAAAAATAAAGTTTTTAAATTAAATTACACTAAAAAATTAATTAACAACTATTATTGATTTTTAATTTAAAGAAGCTTTATTAGAAGAAATTTAATACATTTTCACTCAAAGAAAGAAATTGCTTAAGTTTTGTTTTGAATTGGTTTAGAGAATAATTAGTTTTCAATTCATTATTTAATATTATGTTCCACAACTTTGGTTTTCGGTTTACAATAGCATGGCTGACGAATCAGGTTTCGAAGTGAAGAGACACAATCTTCATATTCTAAAAAAAGTCCTCCATATCGTGAATTTTCTAAAAAAAAAAGGTCCTCTAGAAAAAAGTCGGGTGGGTTGGGGTAGGGGTGGAGGTGCGGTGGGAATGGGGGTAGGTGACACTTGTTTACCCCCTCTTTTGGTGTTGTCGGCCCTGAATAGAGAATTTAGCACTCGGTTAGTTAAGGCAATTTTATTACTTTTTAACCAACCGGCTCATACATCTCATGTGCAACAGCCACTTGATGTATAAGCGTATTCAGGACGCTAAAAAGTAATGGAGTGAAATCCTAGACAAACATTTAATTCAAAATGGTTTCAAATATCTCAAAAAGCCTAGC